ATTTCATGACCCTGACCCCAAGGACCTTTGAGCTGTGACCTCTTTTCCGTGACCATGTTTGGCCGAAATCGCGATTCGGCGTATGTCGGCTCGCATTAGCCGCGCGTTTGCAAGCTTTTCGTGGTTTCAAACGTTCAAAGATGTGATTTGATGTTGCTCCCATGCATTAGGGTGGGTTTCAAGGTCACCTGAAGGTCAGGTCAGGTCATTGACCTTTGGTGACCTCGGTTCACTTTTTCGAGTTTTACATGTTTCTAGGCTAGTTTTTGGAGCTGAATTCGAATTTAGCAACCATTTGAACATTTACGAAGTAGTTTTGGCACCTTCGTAACATGTTACGAAGCTGTCAGAGGCGGATGACTGGTAATACGAATACCCGTCACGACCCCTACCGGTTGACCTGACCTGACCTGACCCTACCTGGTCTAAACGCTTAACGACATCATCTGTGATCAAAACTAACACGATATTCGTGATCAGCACCCCGGAAAACCCCATAACAGCCACGCTTTACGACTTTCTAACAGGTCCCGATATTCCCGATTTTTGGGTCATTGACATGACCTGGAAGGTCAACCAATGACCTAGGACCTTAAAATTGGGTATCGTCGGCTTCCTCTCGTGACGGGCAACACGCTCGTTTTTCCGCGAAGCTCTAGCTCCATCAGGGGCCAAACGCCGGGGGGATTCGTACCAACCCCCTCCCCCCCCCCCCCTTGTGCCGTCGAAGGACTCAAAATGGCCTATGCCGGCGAGGGTTAAAATCGGGTACCATCGGTTTCCTCTCGTCACTCCTGGGCGACACGCTTGTTTTTTTTTCGCGAAGCTCTAGCTTGATCAGGGGCCGAACGGCAGGAGGGTCCAACCGACACCTCCCGGCCCGCGAAGGCTGCGCCAAGCACCGACCCGGAGCGGGCTAGCTGGTCAACAAAAGCAATTTGAAGTGTTTTAAAGAAATATAAAGCCAAGGGTCGGGTGGGCTACCATTTCTATTGTTAGAAATCGTGCACACGTCCTTGTATTCTACACTCCAGCTTACCATTCGTGGTAAAGCGCACCGCCTGACTGCCACAGAATTATAAATCACTTTACTCGTCGACTCAAGATCAATTATCAGCAACATGTTATCAATATCACGTGCGCCTTCAACACTGGCGTCTTCAATATTCCTAACACCCCTCCCCTCTCCGAAACACACGCTCACCATGTACTCATGACCGCGAGGTCATACCCGGTCACAAAAGGTAGCAGCACACTACGCGCCGTCGCATTTTACTAGAGTTCGCAATCCACCACCACTGAGTTTGCACGCGCCATCATCACTGATCCCGGTGGCGAGTGACGGGCTGGACCAGGTGCACCGCCCAGCCATGCTTCTACCAATGGGTCAGACACCCCGTTCCTGCCCTCTGGTGTAGGCGCTCCGCCTTGCACCTGGTCGGGCCCGGAGTTAAGGTGCACCTCACCGCGGAGCCCGTGGTCACTGGTTCCCCAGCGCGTTCGGCTCCCGGTATGGCTTCAGATTGTTGTGGGTCAACACTTCCTCAGCGCTATCACCGTTCAGACCATGAGGGGGACGGCGGCGACGGCGGCGGCGCTGTCGTCTCCACCGTGCCTGAAGCACAGGAGGCAGCTGATTTGGCTCCGGTCGGGAACTGGTGACGGGTTCTCCAACCCTAAGGTGAGCATCGCTGTCCAAACGTCTGATCGTGGGCGACCCGCCCTTCACCGGGTGAGACTCCACCACACTGAGCCGGCCGCGGCTCTCCACGCCCACGCTGCCACTTACGATCAGAGCCGTCCCTCCCCTGTTGGCAGACTCCCCACTTCCAGCTCGAAAAGAAGCGACCCTATCAGTGCTCTCCGGTGTAGGCGCACCGCCCTGCACCGGGTCAGACCCCTGGCATGTAACCTTACCCACGTATGTACGAGCCGGAAGCTGACCCACCCAGGGTGGGCGCTGACTTTCGTCCTCTAAACACCCCCGAGAACAAGGACAGCACGGAAGTCAGCAGATGCACCACAAACGCCAAAACCACCGAGGGAAGACGACAAACCTGAGAACTCTCGGCCTCCAGCCGTCTCGCCGCGCCAGATCCGAACCCGTGGCCGAGAGCTGCGGCCAAAACGGCGGGCTCATCGTGACAGACCTCGTCCCCCGACGACCGCGGGCCTCCGTTGCCACCTGCCATCGATAACTCAGTCCCGGTGTCCACCAGGGCCCACACCCGCCTACCTCCAAGTTCTATTTCCACAACAGATGCTACGATGTGGGACCCTGGTACAAGCACGGCTGGCATTTGTCCCTTAATACCAGCTGCCCTTAGTTTCCCTGGTTCGGGGTCTGTCCAGCACCGGGGCACGCGGGCACACCGCCCATCGTGACCGGGCCGTGCAGACTGCAGTCGGACAACCAATGGCCATCACGTCTACAGCGCAGACAGAAGGGCCCCTGCGAGCTACCAGTGTGGGGACACTCTCGGAACAGATGTCCTTTTCTCCCATATGCGAAACACTGCCGATTCTCGATGTGGCCGCGCCGTTTGGGGCAGAAACGTCGGATGTGGCCCAGATCACCACAGACGAAACACCGAGGCTGGCCGTTTCCTGGCGCAGACGTAGTGTTTCTGCTGCCGGTGCCATCATCTCTAGTGGGCCCGGCGAACTGCCGCTTTAAACCGTCGGTGCACAGGTGTCTGCGCAGTTGCCGCAGTGTTTGTTGGATATCGTCCATGCGTTGTTCCAGAGACTTGAGGGCTGCGGCCGTATCAACACCGAAGCCGATGTCGGAAGTCACCATGACTCGTCGGTCGATTTATTCATGTGCTCGGGACTCAAAATTAAGCTCTAAAAGATGCTTAAGATAACGGATGATTAACATCGTTATGCTTTTATGAAAAATTAAAGCAAAGAAATGTCGTTAATTTAGCGGCACGTAGGAACCTGAGCATGCGACCGCGCCAGTGTTAGAAATCGTGCACACGTCCTTGTATTCTACACTCCAGCTTACCATTCGTGGTCAAGCGCACCGCCCAAGGCCATGCACCGCCTGACTGCCACACAATTATAAATCACATCGTCGACTCAAGATCAATTATCAGCAACACGTTATCAATATCACGTGCGCCTTCAACACTGGCGTCTTCAATATTCCTAACACTATATATTTTTTTAATTAAAAAGTATCGTTTCTGGGCTGTGAGGAAAAATAAGTAGCCTAAATCCGATGAGAAAACAGGATTTGGGGGTACCTTAGGTTTGGTTCCTGGCATGAGTTGCTCCCCCCCCCCCTCAACGCAGGTCTGGATCCGCCAGTGACTAGGGGAGAACGGGGTCAATTGTAACATTTTTTGCATTTTATCATCTGGTGCAAACACGTTTGCAGTTATAAAGCTCTTTCTTTTATTTTCAGAACTATGATGTTTTGTCTTTGAAATGTAGTTAAAATATTTCCGAAATAGCTTCTTTTTCGGGTCAAAATTGTTGTCCGAAAAAGTCAATTCAGCTGTTACAATTCACCCCAGATATGGGGTCAAAAGTAACACCACCCGGGGACAATTGTAACATGTTAACTTACAGGCTACAGCAACTCAATTTTTTCCAAAACTTTGATTTAACGAAAGTATTGAACACTTGTTCATCTTCCCACATTTGGTAGGTACGATTCTTCTCAGGAAAAAGGGCTTAAAACCTCGCACTTATGCAGGGGTCGGATGGACCTCCTCTCCCTCGGTTTTTCGCAAATAAATCGCGCAAAAAGCTGCCGATTGTGACAAAACTTATAGTTCTCTTAATTCTAGCAATGTTTAATCTCACTTGACAATTTGACGACTTTGACATAATGGCCACTGACCTATAGCCTGTGACATTTGACCCCTGCAAAAATGTTACAACTTTCCCCGTCGCGCCATGACATATTTTAGACGAAACTGGCGCAAAAAGATGTGTGAACAGCAGTTAATGCTTTCAATTTATGGACAACAAGCCTGCCAACGCTTACACAAAGTCTGAAGTCGATATCTTTTCAATGGCGGGAATGAGCTTATCAAATATAACGGTACAAAAATTTACGAAATGCTCTCAAAAACACATTACTGTGCACAGCCATCGACATACCCGACACTTTCGCTTCAAACTCCGCTGGGAAAGGCAGTATAGAATTACGCATTTTCGGTCTTAACATCAGCTCATTCTATTGGTAAGTTTATGAATTACTAACACTGTTACAATTGCCCCGTGTTACATTTGACCCCGCTCTCCCCTACTACTACTACTACTACTGTGCCCAGTGTCGAAATGGCCAGTGCCTTGAATGGGCCAGAGTTCATAATGTCCATTGTCCGGGGACTACATACATGGTTCAAATGTGGCCAACTGGCTGCAGATATGGTATATTCAAAGAGGCCAGTGCTCATATTGTCCAAAACAGGCCAGGTGCATATTAATAAGGCCATGGTTCATTATGTCCAGGGCACAATGTGTCCAGTGCTCGAAATGGCCAGTGCCTTGAATGGTTGCGTATATTTAGGCCAGGGCTCATAATGTCCAGGGTACTATGTGTCCAGTGCTCGAAATGGCGAGTGCCTTAAATGGGACGTTTTCAAAAATTTTGCCAGCGCTTTAGAGGGTGCGTATTATTTAGGCCAGGGTTCATTTTGAGTTAATCCTGTGCAGGAACAACCCTCTACTCAATGCTGCCATGTTCCCCTGCGGTGAGCCAATCTCCAGTCGCAGAGCTGCTGACCGGCTGGTGCCGGCAGCTGCCAACCTGCTGGTGCCGGCAGCTGCCGACCTGCTGGTGCCGGCAGCTGCCAACCTGCTGGTGCCGGCAGCTGCCAACCTGCTGGTGCCGGCAGCTGCCGACCTGCTGGTGCCGGCAGCTGCCGACCTGCTGGTGCCGGCAGCTGCCAACCTGCTGGTGCCGGCAGCTGCCAACCTGCTGGTGCCGGCAGATGCTGACCTGCTGGTGCCGGCAGATGCTGACCTGCTGGTGCCGGCAGATGCTTGCCACACTGGGCACCACGCCCAGCTGCGCGTTCGACGCGCTGCCGGAGCTGGGCGCCGTCTGCGAGCGCCAGCAGGTGTGGCTGCACGTGGACGCGGCGTACGCGGGCTCGGCGTTCCTCTGCCCCGAGTTCCGGCACCTGCTGGACGGCGTCGAACTGGCGCACTCATTCAACTTCAACCCCCATAAGGTATGCTGCCAGTGGTCAGCGGGGGCGGGGCCGAACAGCCCGGCGGCACAGGCCAGTCGGTGGCAACGGACCGCAGACAGCACTCACTGGGCGCAATTGTGTCATGGGCACGTCGTGTCATAGCTGTGTTTGCAAACAGCGTCCATGGCTGCGGAGTCGACCATTCCGACTCCGACTCCAACTCTGGCTTGAAAAATCAACTCCGACTCCGACTCCGACTCCAGCTTCGACTCAGGATGTTACTTCGTTGGTCCATACCTATTATGTTTGTTAAGCTCATATAGGAGATCATTTTATTTTGCCCGAAACCATTCTTTTCAAGGCCTTGCATTGCCAATGCGAGTATACCTTTTAAATAGCATGCAGAACTAAAAGCAGATTCTCTCGCAGCCGCAGCCTTCTGCTTTTTTGCTGACAACGCTCGTCCAAAACATGAACATGGACTTAGTTTCGACAAAATATGGTGTGGAAAAGTCAGCGGGCGTGATCTCAAACAAACACGTGTAGGACGTGTAGCCTTTGGACCATGCAGTGTTCTCCGACTCCGGAGTCGGAGTCGGTAAGATTTTGGCGACTCCGACTCCGACTTCAGTCAGAACTGTCGACTCCTACCGACTCCGACACCGACTCCGCAGCCCTGGTAGCGTCAAATAGGTACCGCACGTGACACTTCCAGCTGATGCATCATCCGGACCCCATTGCCCACGGATTTCCGCCAGGGTTCTTAAACGTCTCTTCTGTTAAGCGCGATATTATTTTTGGGTATATTTGTTTCGTATCCCTAAATAATAGTTTCTAGCACCTAATTGCTGTATAGCACCAAAAACCTTACTGAAGACTAATAAGTGAATATGGCACTAAAATGCTGACAAGAAGCCTTGCGTTGCCAGGTTATCTAGTCGAAGTGATTGCTGAATTGGCACCAGAATTGCAATACACAGCACCTATATCCCCTCGCATTTACCCAGCCTATTTGCGGACTTTTTGGATTCCTTTCATCCTGTCAGGCAGAACATCTATATCAACCTCATGGCCCGCTTTTGACAGCGGAAAACATAATTTTCGGATCAAGATCAAGGGACATGTGTATGCAAACGGCCAGAAACGGCGGCGTTTCCTAGAACAAGTGGGTATCCGGACAAATCTCAGTCGACATTTATTTGTCGCACATACCAATCTTTGTTCGTGCATTTATTTGTGCAGTGGATCGATTACGCGCAATCTACGTTTATTTATAAAGAACTGATACACATGTTGGCAGGCGGCGGCCCGCCGTTATACCAGCTGGCAGGCGGCGGCCCGCCGTTATACCCAGCTGGCAGGCGGCGGCCCGCCGTTATACCAGCTGGCAGGCGGCGGCCCGCCGTTATACCAGCTGGCAGGCGGCGGCCCGCCGTTATACCCAGCTGGTTGTGCCGCCGCCGGCGCCGGACTCCGGCCGTCCGAGCCCGCGGTGTCACAGCTCGGCCGGCAAATCGGTAGCTCTATCCTTGCCCAGTCCCAAATGCATCAACCCCCCTCCCCCCGTCCAAACACAAGCACACACGCATGCTACACCTCGCATCGCAATGATTTGCCTTCAATTCAAGCTGGGTCAGGTGGGTGACGCGCGTGATCGCCTGAGGCGAAGAGGGGGAGGGGAATGTTTTTGTCATTTAATGCTCAATGCAATCGCTATGACTTTTTACAAGACAATTGAAGACAGGCTAGATTGATGATTTCAGAATTTAGTGTTGCATTTCTTGGATTAGCTTCAGACGCGGTCCCAATTCACGTGACAGCCTCGATGGTGGTTATATGTAGAACAAACCGCCAAACCGCCTCGCCAAAAGCAGCTTTAGGCTGCAGATGAGCTGGGTTGACTGGGTGTGCTGTGTCACCTGTACAGTGGATGCTGATCAACTTTGACTGTTCGGCAATGTGGGTGAAACGGGCGAACGACCTAGTGGACGCTTTTAACGTGGACCCGCTCTACCTGAAGCACGACAAACAGGGCCTGGTGCCCGATTACAGGGTAAGCTCTGCCAAGACCTCACCTTGACCTTGGGTCAACTTGTCAAGCTGACTTTTAAAGGTGTCCTCTTAAAATTGTCCTCCCGTGGCCTAGTGTATATGATGTCCGGCTCCCAACTCGGTGACAGCGAGTTCGCGGCCGGGAACCTCCATGTCGTTTGAGCCTCGTTTCTACATTAAGCTAGCTGGCAACTGGCGAGAGAGGGCCATGCTAGACCCGGAAGGACCGTGCCGCCATCTACCTGCGGTACGTTAAACTTTCCATCCAAATTATCGCCGGTGAAACGCGGGCGCTGGCAAGGTGGGTCCGTGGTGTCATGCGCAACAAGCACTGCTTAGTGGGGCATCCGACCCATATCCACCCATTCAACTATTCGGACAAAATTTCTTTTAGGTCAACTTATAGTTCATTGGACGCGTCTCGATGAGACGTACAGGTCTCGCGAGATTAAGCGGTAGGTTTTGCACTTTTACATTTCCGGTTATATCTCAGAAACTAATCGATCTACGATGAAGCCATTTTACACGATCATGGCCGGCTTGTTACCCAACAAGTCGATCGCATCTTCAACACTTAAAAGCTTAAGACGACGAAGATATAGCCTGAAGTACACTAAATTTTCTAGTTGCAAACCCTATCGCTAAAACCCGCGAGACCTGTACATGATACCGGTAAAATAAATGTCGTTTGATTTTTGAGTCAATAGGTATGGCAGAAATAATATTTCCACGAAAACGTGTTTTTTACAGTTCCCCCCCCCCCCCTAGAGGCTAATTCGCTGACCTGAGGTCAAATCTGATAACGGTCTACAGAAAGAGCGTTTACGGAGCTATCAAATGCGCTTTTTTGCGGTGCTCTAACTCAATCTGTTCGTTCTTGAGCTATACGTTGCTTTGTCGAAATTGTCAAAATAGGCGAAGTTTGACATTGGATTAACTCTGGTGACCTGACTGTTGAGCTAACCGTTTTTTTTTTTGTCCTTATTTTGGACGTTATTTCGAATCCCTCTTACCACGTGTCGCTATGTGGCCCAGGCGCCGGATCAGGAGGGGGGGGGGAGTGTTCAAACACCCCCAGCAGGGCGTGGAAATTCAGGACCCCAGCGGGCCATAGGGGTCAGTTTGAGTTCGCTGGCTTAACGCGCTTAGATAATATTGGCGAAAAACGGGATGGGGGCAGTTTTCTCCCCCCCCCCCGGCGGGGTGTGGGTGAATCGGTGCATGACTGGGGAGTGCGGCCCAGAGACCTATCCTATTTGTCGGCGATATCTTCAAAACCGCTCAACGTATCAACACGAAACGATCAGCACCTTCGGATGCACCAATTTGACACTTTGTGTTTAACCTCCGCCCGGGTAGGGGGGGGGGGGAGGGATTTTCGGCCACACAGTTATGTGTATTCTCGTATATGGACCAAAGTTCGAAGACCTTGCATAGTTGTCTCTTTTCAATATTCTAGGGTAATCTGTATCAAAGAAACATCCTCCTATATCTGTGTGCGTTGAAATTGAACATATTTTTCACTAGAATACTTATTTGATCCTATAGCAAATATAAATGTTCTAGCCAGTGAGAAGCAAATGGGATCTTTCTTGGCCGTCTCTGACCCGCCGCTGAAATCGCCTACCCGTGTGTGCGTGCTGGCAGCACTGGCAGATTCCACTGGGACGCCGGTTCCGCTCTCTGAAGCTGTGGTTCGTGCTGCGCCTGTACGGACTGGCCGGAGTGCGTGCGCACATTCGGCGCCACGTGCAGCTGGCGCAGCTGTTTGAACAGCGCGTGCGCGCCGACCCGCGCTTCCAAATAGTGACGCCCGTCACACTGGGCCTCGTCTGCTTCCGACTCCAGGTCAGTGGCCACCACATAGCCCTCGTCTCAGCGATACATATAACGAACCGCCACTCCGGTACAGTGTTAACTAACCGCCACTCCTGTTCAGTGTTAACTAACCGCCACTCCGGTACAGTGTTAACCAGCCGCCACTCCGGTACAGTGTTAACTAACCGCCACTCCTGTACAGTGTTAACTAACCGCCACTTCTGTACAGTGTTACAACACCGCCACTCCTGTACAGTGTTAACCAACCGCCACTCCGGTACAGTGTTAACTAACCGCCACTCCGGTACAGTGATAACTAACCGCCACTCCTGTACAGTGTTAACTAACCGCCACTCCTGTACAGTGTTACAACACCGCCACTCCTGTACACTGTTACAACACCGCCACTCCGATACAGTGTTAACTAACCGCCACTCCTGTACAGTGTTAACTAACCGCCACTCCGGTACAGTGTTAACTAACCGCCACTCCGGTACAGTGTTAACCAACTGCCACTCCGGTACAGTGTTAACTAACCGCCACTCCTGTACAGTGTTACAACACCGCCACTCCTGTACAGCGTTACAACACCGCCACTCCGACACAGTGTAAACTAACCGCCACTCCTGTACAGTGTTAACTAACCGCCACTCCTGTACAGTGTTAACCAACTGCCACTCCGGTACAGTGTTAACTAACCGCCACTCCGGTACAGTGTTAACCAACCGCCACTCCTGTACAGTGTTAACTAACCGCCACTCCGGTACAGTGTTAACCAACTGCCACTCCGGTACGGTGTTAACTAACCGCCACTCCTGTACAGTGTTAACTAACCGCCACTCCGGTACAGTGTTAACTAACCGCCACTCCGGTACAGTTTGAACTAAACGCCTGACTCCTGTACATTGTTAACTAACCGCCACTCCGGTACAGTGTTAACTAACCGCCACTCCGGTACAGTTTTAACTAACCGCCACTCCTGTACAGTATTACAACACCGCCACTCCTGTACAGTGTTACAACACCGCCACTCCTGTACAGTGTTACAACACCGCCACTCCGGTACAGTGTTACAACACCGCCACTCCTGTACAGTGTTACAACACCGCCACTCCGGTGCAGTGTTAACTAACCGCCACTCCGGTACATTGTTAACTAACCGCCACTCCTGTACAGTGTTAACTAACCGCCACTCCGGTACAGTGTTACAACACCGCCACTCCTGTACAGTGTTAACCAACCGCCACTCCTGTACAGTGTTAACTAACCGCCACTCCTGTACAGTGTTAACTAACCGCCACTCCGGTACAGTGCTAACTAACCGCCACTCCGGTACAGTGTTACAACACCGCCACTCCTGTACAGTGTTAACCAACCGCCACTCCGGTACATTGTTAACTAACCGCCACTCCTGTACAGTGTTAACTAACCGCCACTCCGGTACAGTGTTACAACACCGCCACTCCTGTACAGTGTTAACCAACCGCCACTCCTGTACAGTGTTAACTAACCGCCACTCCTGTACAGTGTTAACTAACCGCCACTCCGGTACAGTGTTAACTAACCGCCACTCCGGTACAGTGTTAACTAGCCGCTGCTCCGGTACAGTGTAAAGGGGCCCTGACACTTGCACGATTTTGTGGCACGCATTGGCACGAATCGAATCGTGCCCGTGCGCAAACTAGTCGTGAAGTGACGTGAGGTGTGCGTTAACCCGGCAGTTGCTGGGGTATTTCGCCACCCACCGTTTGCTGGGGGGGGGGGCGTTAAACGCCCCCAGCCGATAACTCGAGAACCAATAGGCGCAGCGAAACGCACGAGGCGGCAAACGAAAGAACGCGACGAGACGCTTCAGATGAGTACTTTTAAGTTGAATTTTGAGGTCACAGGTCAGGTCAAGGTCAGGTCAAACACCTGAAATCGGGCTTTCAGTAGCATGGACTTCAGGACTTCGCAATGGGCGCCTCTCGTCATAAACTCTGTCAAAACGGTGCACAATCCATCATATAAGGCCTACAAGAGTGTCAGCTCCATGCAGGGGTCAGTCAAGCATAGGTCAGGGTCAAGGTCAGGTCAACCGGGCGGGTGCATATCCCCGAAAATAAAAACTGATATTCGCAGCCTGTGACACATGTTTTATGGGTAATTTGGGGCGTAGAACACGATGGTGACATTCATTTTATCATATGTGTACGTGTTTGGCTAAAAAAGTTCAATTTAAGATATTCATGTATCATGGTCGTGAAGTAGTCACGAGAAATTGCCAAGATTCAGTTCAAGATTTTGGAAAATGCGGAACGATAATCAATAATCGAAGATAGCCATTTGATTCTTCATGGTATTGGCAGTCTAATGGCATTTACGGCATGTCTATATGTCTATTCTGTGATTTTATATGATTTTTTGAACATATGCCGTTTTTGGTCGAAAACTCAGAAATCATGACGTCACTAAAACCTCGATATCTCAAAAATTTTCCGACTGATTTTTTTGAAACTTTGTCACAATAAACTTCAATCAATTTCCTACAGGTACCCAAAATTTGGCGCGCCTGCGGCGCGCCGTTTTTATGCTATGGCCCGGCGAAAAAAGTGGGGGCGTTTAACGCCCCCCCCCAGCAACTCGCGGGTTATCTCGTCGTGACTTCGTGCCATGTCGGGGCAAAAACTTTGAAATGTTCAAAGTTTTGGTCACGACAAAATTTCGCAACCGGATCGTGAACTATGCGCAAACTGTTCGTGAACTTGTCGTGAACTCGTCGGGACGGTGCGGGAAGTGCGTAAACTATGCGCAAACTATGCGAAAGGTATTCGTGAACTCGTCCTACCAGCCCGTGCCTATGTGTGGATCTCGGCTTGCTTCACAGCGCGAAATTTGGGATTGTTTGGTGTTTTTCCCGAGTCGATTGGACGCCTAGATGGGAAGTAACGACCGAAAATGTATTTAACGGGTCATTTCAGCTCAAAGAGGTCAAACTAGGTCACATTAGGCACGGTCAGGACATTTGTGTCACTGGAGGTCACGATGGGTCTTGCCAGGACACGGAGCTTACGCCTTACATTAGTGAATGGGAGGTCCCATTTTTATATGGCATGCCCAAGTCGGCACAAATTGCGCAAACTTGTCGTGCCAATGCGTGAAGTGCGTAAACTATGCGCAAACTATGCGGAAAGTATGCGTGAACTCGTCGTACCAGTCCGTGCCAATGTGGACACTGATGGGCACGCATTCGTGAATTATTCGTGAAATCGTGAACTGGTCGTGCACTAGTCGTGAACAGTGCGGGAGCCATCCCAGCTCGTGCACAAAAATGGCACGGCTTGCCACGACAAAATCGTGACCAAAAGTCGTGCAAGTGTCAGGGCACCTTTAAGGCCGTGTTACACTGCCGAATTTTGGTCACGACCCTGTCGCCGAATCACGTCGTGTAGGAAATCGGCGAACAGTTCAACGACAGAGGCGAACAGTTCGCCGACAGAGCCCGATTTGCAGAAAACGGGTGGGGGGCCCCCTAATCGTGCGCGGGTCAAAGCTGATCCATGATTCGGCGAACATCGCGAATGAATGGCGAATCTGTTGCGAATAGTCGGCGATACCTTGGCAACAAGTCGGCGCACGCAGCGACATGTCGGCGGCGACTCGGCAACTGTTTGGCGATCATGTTCGTTTATTATAAGTTCGGCGAACGGCCACGAAATTTTCATTTTTCATGAAATATTCGTGGTGGTCGTGACGAACCGTAAAAGTCGCGCGGTGGACACCGACTGGTCTGCGAAATGCCAAGACATTGGAGGAAAGATCCCGAATCAGTCCGCGACATAGGATGACTTGCATATTCGTGCACATTCGTGTACCAAAATTCGGCAGTGTAACAAGGGCTTTAACTAACCGCCACTCCGGTACAGCGTCCAATAGCTGGGGCATTCCACGATAGATCGTACCAAGCCCGTCACCCTCCTCTCTCAGATTTTAATGAAAATCGGTACTAGGGGTAATCATAGGCCCCAAAGACGCCTGGCAAAATATCAGACTTATCAGATCAAAACTTTTTGAGTTATATTGCATTACATTTTTTAACTTCGGTTTGTAACGGTGAGTTTGATGGCCTATAACTCAAGAACGGGTTAGGCAACCAACAAACGGTAAACAACACTAAGCTTGCGATGAATCAAAAATTAAAATTACTATTGAAAAATTCCAAAGAAAAATTTTCATTGCTGAACAAAAACCTTAATCTTTTTTCATTTGCCTCTAATGACTTTTGGGACCAAAATTTTTCACGTTTTTATTTTTTAAAATAAGCTTCATGTCATTGCAAATCGACATGCAAAAAAAATTAGAAAGGTGTTCTTTCTATAAGTTCCTCATTTTCCCGCAAAGAAAATGGGTTTCGGAGGGGTTGATACGACCCCAGCACGCCGTTTCGCTTCAAATAGAGCTAGAGCCTCGCGGAAAAAATGAGCGTGTGTGCCGTTACAAGTCGCAGCGATTGGTACCCGATTTTAAGGTCTCAGATTAACCGGTAGCGTCTGAGGTCAGGTCAAGTGACTGAAGTTACGGGTTCGGTTTTTAGTAAATAACTTCGCAAAAAATGGCCGCAGAGCCGCGATTTTGGCATCATTGTGTTTGCCTAGCTGAGGTGCGTCGAATAATATACTTTTTGTTAGGGTGAGGTCAACTTAAGGAGCTGACCTTGGGTCAAGGTCAAGTCAGAGCCCCTCAGGTCACGAAGCTGGGCAAAGGGTATCATATGGCATATCATTTGATCGGGAGTTATTGAGGAAAAACTCGTACGACCCCAGTGACGTCATAAATGACGTCACGCAAGGCTAACAATGCAAAAGTGAAGCATTGGACTTTCCAAGGAGTGCATGAAATCACGATACCATGAACGTGAGATAGTTTTAGATCATTCTCGGCGCCAAAATAACAGCTTTTATATTTCCCCATTGACTTATAACAGTGATGTCACGTGACCGACCTAACCTCATGTGACCTTAAAAATTCCCAGATATACAAGTTGTGAGACC